CGTCCGCCAGGTCAGCGACATTTGGTGGACACGTAGGTTTTATTTTATTTTTAATTTTTTTCAAAATTTTAATATTCATTTTTTAAAAAATTTTTAATTTTTAAAAATAGACAAAATAAATAAATTATTTTTTTAAAAAATTAAAAAAATTCACGTGCCCGCTAGGTGTCGCTGACCTGGCGGACACGTGTCCTCCGGCGAGCCGTGCGGGTGCCACGTAGGCATCTCCGGTGCTCGAAGACTAAGAGTGCGAAAAGCTTCCACTTACAGGACAAATTTGCGACAAGCTCAAATTACGAGACTAAAATGATAAAAATGTCCAATTATGGAATTTAAAAATCAGTTTACCCATTATAAAAATATAATTTCTAGAAACTAAAAAAATAATTAAATCCAGAATGCTAGAAAAAATCAATGCTTGGATTGGAAATAAAGGACAAAGTCTAAATGTAACACTCCGGTCGGTTCAAGCCGGAGTATCACCGCCACGCCACACCGTAAGACTCGTCCGTTAACTAACGAACCTCACGTTGTAGCGCTAAGGCTAAAATACCAAACATAAGAAACTAAAAAAAAAAAGGTAAAGCGCACCGGCTTATCATATAAAAGTTTGAGTAAAAACTGTAAACTAGAAATTAGTTCAAAAGCCTCTAGTTTTCAAAACATTAGTAATAGATTTCAAAATCATCCTAAAATATGAGATAATCCTAATTTTTCCCAATGGGTCATGCGACATAGATGCATCAATTAGGCTTAGCAGAAGCACCACCACCTACAAAAAGTTAGTAGAAAGAGGGTCAACACGATGGTTGGGTAAACACAATTAATCAAAGATAACTTAATACGATATATGCCGTGATTCACATGTAAATACCACAAAATCACTTTAAAAAGATTAGTTGAATGAAATGTCGCATATCACATAAAGAAAACTCACACACACAAGCCTTTTAGTGCCTCCCTTATGTCTCCCTTTTATTTTCAAATAATTGTGATGAACACAGTACGAAGAAAACTCCACCAGGCCTTAGGGCCGGCTTGACCCAGTTTTTCAACCTTATTACTTCGTTTGACACGTCACATAACTACACGTAGCAAATATAGAGTCACAACCCTCAAGAAAAAGCTCCACAATAGGTACATAAAGGGTTCGAAGCCCAAAGTACACGTAAGTCAACTTATTTATTAATTTACGAGGGATGTCATACGGACAAACTCTATAGTCTCCAATACAACATACCAAGAGGGGATTGTACATAATTCATCCCTCCATCACGGATGATAGTCTAAAGATCATTCCGTCATGAATGACAGGCACATCGGAATTACCCAAAAGAAAACCCGCTATCTCGATCCCACAATCTAGCCTATTCGGGTTTTAGTTTGAGGTTATCTAGTTATCCTAAAATACTAGTATATTCTCACGTGTTTTCAAGGCACAGAGGTGGAAGACTACGCCTTATTATCCCAAATAATTGACGAGTTGATCAGACTCGACGGGTAGTTTCAATTACCAATTTGACCAAATACTCAACATGCTATTAGGAAAATCTTAAAAAGAGCTTTCAACGAAAAAAATTCCATTTACCTACATTTAATAAAACAATCAATAAAAACATCGGATAGTAACCATATTTTGCAACATAAGCAAAAGTTAAATGAGGGCTTTCAAATTTGTTCATAAAACATTCTTTTTGTCAGACAACATTTTCATTTAATAACCAAGCAAGAAGTAGAGTAATAAAAATCCAACACGTTCATTAAAATCTCACTTTATTTTTGCCAAATAATCACTTGGATAATATGTCCATCGAAATAGGCATAATCTAACTCAAAAAATCATAATATTTAAAAATAACTACAATTTTTTTTTTCTTCCAAAATTTATAAACTAGATTAGGGAAAAATTAGGATTTCTACCCCATTTCACAATCCTCCACCTTCTCACTTGAATCACCATAAAGATTTTCATAAACCCTAAAGGACATCCTAATGAACTTTCCAGAGAGAAAATAGGATAACTCAATATTTCAGAACAAACCTATTTAAAAATAATTGAAAAATATCACAAGGAATCAACAAATGGGTCTAGATATTATAACATATTACTCCCTCCGTCCCACATAATTTGTCCCTATTTTCTATTTTCGTCCGTCCCACATAATTTGTCCATTCCTTTTTTAGAAATATAATTATACACTTTAATCTCATTTTAAATTTTAGATTTTATAATTTTTTTAATCTTAATTAAACTATTTAGTTATCTTAATCTTAATCCATAATTATTTTTATTATACGATAATTATTTTTATTATACGATAATTATTTTTACTAATACACTTCTTAATTACTTACTAATCACACTTTACCTAAATTCTCGTATCTACAGTAATAGGCCCATAATACATGGGACGGAGGGAGTATTCAACTAAAATTAATCTCACTTACCTTAAGAGAAGAGACTAATTGAGGAGATTTTGAGAAGAACACCTCTAAGGAAGAAAAAGGAGAGTTGTTGGCGGCGGCTGGACTGGAGGAGAAAGAATAACGTTGGACCTGCCTCTGCGACCTCTCCATTTCTTTTCTCTCTAATTTTCTTTTTTTTTTAAAAAAGACTTTGGCCTATATCATTTATTTTATCCCACTTGGGCCCAAAATGACCCATACTCAATTTTACTCCAAACTCAAACTGAATTCCTTTATTTCTTACACCAATAACACAAAACAAGTTATTCTCAAATATAATTATCCGACTCTAGCTCGGACTCCGGAAAGTTTTGACAAACTTCCGAAAATTATTTTATGCGGTACTACACTAAAAAGTATCATACTCATACTAATCAAACCAAACATAGCCATTGCAAATTCAAAAATAAAATATTTACTTGTACTATTATCCAATATATCCAACTAAAAAATTCAAATAAACGATGCTGCCACAATCCTTGAAGCTAATGAATTTGAAGCATTAACAAGTAACCCATAGGAGTCCATTAGAAATCTGCATAATATAATATAAGTAAATAATTAATAATGCATATAAATAAGCATACTGCAAATATTTTTAGTAATATAAATAACTAGTACCACAAATATTTTTACTACTATACAAAATACACTACTTTTCATTATAGAAACACCAGCCATAAAATAACATCAGATTAATAAGCAACACCAACCACAAAGTCACACAGATTATGAACAAGTGCATCCAACTAAATAGTCATAAATATACATATATGTCATTAGCACTATATTATCAATACTCACGTCAAACCAACTAGTTATAAATATCAACCAAATTATCAAAATTACTTTGATCACAAGCATTCCCACTAGTATACAAAATAAACTCATTCCCATTATAGCAACACCAATACAAATCTATTTTACAGACTTTAAGAGATAAATATAGTAAAAAATGTCCTACATAGATTGCATTATATGTATATCATAATAACTCGAAATAGAACATATTGTAATGTTTCTTCAATAAAGATGCCATCAATAATATTAAAAAAAAACTTAAGAACGATTTTCGAATAGCCTTTTTACTTACCACGAATGGTTGGAAGCATTTGCATTTCTCTCCTCCAATAATATTTTCACAATATCTTTCAACTCATAATTTTTTGGTCTTGCGAATTAATCTTCTCTTGCTAGGATTGCGCCAAATTTGACTACTGCAAGCTTATGTGTTAAATGCTCAGAAATTTTAGAAGATGCACATCTTCCAAATATTAAATCTATTGGCCTATAAGGCCAAAACAAGGTGTGCACCCTAACTTCTTCACGAAACAGTGTCAGCAATTTCATCTACATTCATTTCTTCAGAACAATCCCTCAACTCTTGCATAGTTGGTTGGAGTCATTTTTTAATGTTAATAATTACAAGTATTGGTTAACAAACATTTGAAAAGTAAAGAAATGTAGTCCATAGATATTTATCCTTTTCTGACTTAATTTTAAATGGTATTTTTGTCTGGCCCACCATAAGTTTTTCCAAAGAATTCAGTACGATTAGGATCTCCCTATCATATATTCTTGATAACTAAAATTTGGTGATGAGTAATTTGTATATTTTCATAGGGAATTTTATATTCGAAAATAAAGGTGTGAATGACTATAGAAAGCGGTCAGATATAGTAAAAGATTGTGGTTGTAGACCCTGAGTAGTTATCACAATTATTTATACTCTTTTTACATGTGAGTTTCCAGGTTGAACACAGGAATTTTAAGTCATGAATTTTAAATCAAGTGTAGATCTTGAGAAAGCAGTGAAAAATGGAGTAAAAGGACCCGCTCTGCAGTGGATCCAAATTTCTACACTATGGAAAACGGTAAGTAAAAGCGGTAAAAGTGAGTGGAGGCAGACGGAGCGGAAGCGAGCGATGAAGTGGCAGCGATGATCGAGTGAACGGGACATGAGTGGATGGCACAATATATATATATGTAAGCGGTGGAGAGTGAGGGAGAGGTGCTGTGTCTGAACTGTGCGTTACTTAATGACTAGATTTTCCTGGATGAAATGAGCGAGTGGTGTTGGTGTATTAACGGAGGTATATGTATAATACGGAAGCGGTGGAGGGAGATGATGTAAATATATAAACCAAATTAATAAGAATTCTTATCACTAGAATCTGACCTTAAGGGATTTACAGCAAGACTTCAATGACACCCAGAATCGGAATATTATAAGAAATAAACCCTATTGTCACTAGGAGTTTTTGTGACCTAATAGACCACCGGCTATGCCCCATTAGTAGCTTTACCCTTCTGTTACCTCTTTTTAATCAAAATTGAATTCAAAACAATAGTTAAGCAGGTTGACAAGGCTCCCGCGTACATAACTACATTGAACTACCTTGGAAATGCTTTTCGCGAAAGACAAGGCTTGGATAATCAATTATTCTTATGCTCTAAACCAATGAAATGAAATTCTTTAAAATCAAGGTTTATATAAGTGTGAAGAACATGTGACAGAAATAGAGATGAACAACTGAATGATATTTCATTACTTACTAATAAAATTAGAATTGCTAATTCTACAAAGCTGTAATTGAAAGCAGTAAAGCTACACTAACTAAGCGGTAAAGTCTTGGCCAAGGGAGAAGGAAAATCCCTACTCCCTTGGCCATTCCTATGGAGAACTCCCTTACAGGGTTGGAGCTCTTGAATAACAGGAAGACAGCTAGAATGCGCAGGAAATTAATCGCTATAATACTCCAAATCGAAGTATATCTACATACAGATATCTGGCCCTATTTATAGTAGGTGAAAAGGAACGGTTGCAAGCAGTTACAAAGCAGTTTCAACCACTAGGAAGTTAGGCGGTTGATGGTAGTTATTTTGTTGAAGCAGTTGTTGGCCATAACTCCTAGGGTGCTTGCTTCGCTTGCATAGGATTGTAAGGGCTCAGATCTTCCTCGCTTGCCGGAGGGCTGGAGGGCATTAGCGCAGCTAGGCTTGCTTGTGCTGGCTGGTAATGGAATGGCTGTACCACTGCACTTGGAACACTTAGCCAATATTTGTTGTCATTCTGCAGCGGTGGGCATCTGGGCCGTTGCTAGTGAGCGGGAGAGACTGTCGCTTGCAAGTGGTGGAAGCTACCATTTGCTTCTCTTATCTTAGTCTTTTCTGGGTGATATAACCGTCGCTTGCGAGCGGAGGTGGCTGTCGCTTGTGGCGTCTGCCTTAGCTTTTCTGGCACCAAAACAACTCTTAAAAGGGCAAAAATCGTTAATAATCTCAACAAACAAACTCTGGATCATGCGAAGCGATATAGATCAATTAAATATGGCATTAACAAGTTATTGTGATTGTTTTTATACAGAAATTCAAGTAATAAACAGTTTTTTCAAGCTAAAAATATGCTCATATTTGGAGTCATCAATTCTAATTTAGTGTTATTTGCATATGCTATATAGAGAATAATCATATAGAAAATAAAGGCTACTATGTTATGACAAGCGATAACAAATGACATTGAGCCTATACATTGCTTCTGAGCACACCTTTTATATCTTTATAAAATAAGGAAATGTTGTCATAAAATATTTTGGAGCATATTGAATTAATGGTTTTTGTAATGACATTCACATTACTATTTAGAAAAAGTTTAATTATAGCTTACAGTTTAGTTTGCAATTTTGAAAATAATACCTAATATTCCGGATCTTCCCATAAATTGCAACAAAGTTCCCAATCTTTTGAATCTACTTTTTTAGGAAGATAATTAGCACAAGCCCAAGTATATGAGTTTCCCTCTTCAATGCAATTTTTCCAATTTTTTATGAAGCCTACATTTATGATCCGTATAATGATTGCCAAGTATGGTATTTCCATTATGATAGTATTTGTTTCAATTTTAGTTCCCAATCATATAAGAATATATTTATGTGCTCTAACATAACATCCTGTATTTTCCATCCAACTGGCTGAAATAAGGTGTTCTTTAGGGAATAGTGCTCCGAGCAATGATACCGAGTTCCTTTGTAAACATTGCTGACACTATCCTATTTGTTGGCCTTCTTTTTTCTTCGGGATGTTTATAGGAATTTTTCCATTTGCTCTAAAATATCTATTTGTACCATTTCCTTTTGTCTTTCCACGATGTTTGACTACTAAAACAAGTATATTTATTTACGATTAAAAATTTTTTTTACTAAAAATGTGTGAAATACCTTGCACTTCATTATCGGAGTTAGTAGTTGCACCTTTTGCTCCATCTAAACTCGATATGTTAGAAGGACCATTGCTTTGCTGAATTAGATCATGAATGGTATTGATCGACGATGTTGGACGACTATGCTTCTTGAAATCTTCTGGAGCTATTCTGACACACATGCATGAAAAAAATCAGATCATTTGAGTAGCCAGAAATGGCAAAGGGTAGGGCACTTGTGTGTTGGATTATGCATGTTTGGAAGTTGCATTCATCATATTGAAGAAAAAATATCTTCCGATAATAAAATCAAACCAATGGCATGAAACAAAACAATAATTTAAGAGGAATCACATGACTCGCAAGCATGTTTAGCAACAAATAGGACACTAACAAGCCTAAGCGGTTCAGCAAAGGTACTTGAGGTTCTTTTCAACTCTAAAATTAAAGGTAAAAATTTGGATGAATCTTGGGATATATTGTAGCAAAATGATGTAGAACAGTGCTTTTTTGTAGCAAAAACATTTGAGCTATGTAGATAGCTCTAGACAACAATTTTGAAAAAAAAAAAAAAAAAAAAAAGAGAAAACCATGCATCATAAAGATTAATAAAGAAAATGTAATGATACCTTTGGAATAAAGCCCAGTATAACTCGAGTGATGAACAAACAAACGATGGCACATAATAGTTATAAAAACAAAAGCCACGAAAGAAAGAATCTCTCCAAATATATATATGCATAAACATCCACATAATAAGGTTCTTTGTTGTAAATAAAAAGTAGCACATTACACAATGGCTTCCCATATGCAGAAACAACACCCATATAGTCATGCAACTAATCACAAAATGCTAATTAATTTCATTCAGTTAAAAAATATATAATGTCCTATTTAGAAATCATAACTACTCGTATATAATATTCTCAAATTGACAAGGAACAAAATTTTCAACAACCTTCAATAGTAATCAATATTATTTGTCACAAAATTAACAAACTAACTACGTAATCACACCCCTTTTCCTTTGTGATCATTTATGTATAATAGATTATGAACAAATTAAATTCTTTGCACAAGATGCTATAGAAAAATTGAGAATGGATAAATTTTTCGAAAATTACATATCAGAATATAATTTTATACTAATATTTCCTACCCCTTGACTTCTGCAGGTCTTACCAAAAACAAAATAAAGAACTTTTGTAACCAAATATCTACAATCTAATATGCATGTATAAGCAATTACACAAAAAGGTAATCTAATACAAATGACACTTGAGCACCTGACACCAGTATATATACAGAATGAATATTGCATTTCACATAGGCGATATCCAAATATCTAATCATACTAAACATAATGAAATAGAATCCATCACCAATCTGTATGGACCAATTTCTTATAATATGCATATGATTGACATTACATAGCATAATAAAGAAACCATATATGGAAAACCTACCTAGCCCTGTGCATTATAGACAGAAAATCTCGGAACTCTGAATTGCCCCAAAACATAGATTTCACTACTCAATCAACAACAGGACAATTGGATAAGCACAAAAAATAGAGAAAGCAATCAAACAACACAAAAATAGAAAAGGCAATCAATGAAACACATTTCTTTCAAAATTCAGTATTGCATCCAGTAATCAATAACCTTTTTAGAATATATGAAATGAATGTGTTAAATAATTTCATCACAATCTTTAGATCTAAATGTATAGTTTTAAACAACATAAAATTTAATACACATTCAATGTTAAATTTAACACCATAAAATTTTTTGTATAATGTCACAAAAAAAGAGTTGAAATTTAGTTACAAAAAAAATTTGCAGCAAAAGATAATAACTCATAGCGAAAACATTTTTTCAACAAAACTCATTTTGTCGCCTATACCGCATTAGTAAAGGTCTTTGGTGACAAATATGACTTTCTTAACGAAACATAAGTTTTTTGCAATGAAAGTTAAAAAAAAATATATATATAGCTAAGAGAATATGATTTCGTAGCTTAAGTTCTTTACTTTGAAAGTAAAATTCATAACAAAAGAGTTTTAGCAGCAAAATATGTATGATTTTTTTAGCTAAATGGTTTTAGCTATGAAAAATAATTTTGTAGCTAAATCCTTTTGCTATGAAAATAGAATTATCTAGCAAAAAAATTTAGCAACAAAATTAATTTTATAGTACGTAATTTATTTTTAGCGATGAAATTAATTTTTGTTGCTAAATGACACGTTTTAACTACAAAAATATTTCATAGTTAAAAGTATTATAACTAATTAGATACTTGTAGCGTGTATATGTGTGTATATGTATACTATGCCTCTAGTTGAATTATTTCACCGCTTTTGGGTTATGTCTAGAGATAAAAATGCACACTAGTACTCATATATGTTAGCATTTATTTGTTTGGTCTATATCCAAATATCCACTCAACTCTTATTAGACTAAAAATAATGTAAGATCTTGCAACCATCTACATTAAGAAGAATAGAAACACAGAAACTATGCATTGAATTCAAAAACGAAGCAAGAGAATGCATAAAAATTTATAAAGTCATGACACAAATATTACAAAAAGATAAAATACCTAAACTACATAATTTGGATGGCCTCAAAGCACTGGTAGTGGGCAGATGAAACCATGAGTACAATGGCTGGGGAAGGATGATGACAAGGGAAAACATTAAGACAAAAATTTAACTATAGTTTAAAATATTGCATTCTATATAATAAAAAACAGCATAAAATCCTATCCGGCAGCAGATCAACATAATGACCATAATTTCATTCTATTTGAACATTATTGTTTGTTTGATTGCAAAAATTTCAGAAAAAACAAATTGCTTGAATAGAAATTTCTGTCTAAACACATATGAAATAAATTAAATTGATGTAGAAGTACCTTAACCTATGGACATTATCGATTCCTGAATTTAGAATCTCGTGGTGCAAGTATATGATTCTAAAACACGATTTCCTTTCCAACAATTAGAAACAATCAACACTCCACTGTTAGGATTAAACTTGTTTTGGTATGATTTAATCTAGTGCACTAATCTTCGTAACTTACTTTTTCCTTGTTTAGAAAATAAATTAGATGATAGACTTTCTTTGATTTATATATTAGGTAGATTAGTCAATAATTGAGAGGATATGAAGTAAATCAAGGTCTGATTATCTTGCCCTGTCTTTTCCACTCTGTTTTGATTCCAGCCGCAAAATCGATTTTCCAACAAAGTGGTATTAGAGCATAGATGATCCAAGCCACAAAGATGATTAATAGAATGCTTCCCTTCCAATTCCCAAAACTTACAAAGGATAATTACGATAATTGGTGCATAAGGATGAAGGCACTATTGGGTTCCCAACACACGTGGGAGATCGTCGATAATGGGTACGAACAGTCTGCCAAAGATGAGATATTGTCTGCAGAAAAGAAGGAAGCACTGTAGAAATCAAACAAGAAAGATCAACAAGCACTTACCCTAATTCATATGTGCTTAGATGAATTGATGTTTAAGAAGATCTCGTATGCGGGAAGTGCAAAGGAGGCCTACGAAATATTGAGTAATTCATTCAAGGGGAAGGAGAAAGTAATCAAGGTACGGCTACAAACATTGCGAAGTGAGTTTGAGAGACTTTTGATAAAAGAAAGTGAGTTGGTTGAAGAATATTTCAATGGAGTTCTGGTTGTGGTAAACCAACTTAAGAGATACGATGTCAGTCATTAAAAAAATACTTCGGTCGCTAACCCCGAAGTTCGATTATGTGGTCGCTGCAATTGAAGAATCAAAAAACCTGAACTTTCAGTCGATCAGTTGTTGGGTTCGTCACAAACCCACGAAGAGAGGATAACTCGAGTTGAGCCACCAACCCAAATGTTGCAGGCCACTTTAAACTTGAGTAAAAGAGAGGATTCGCAGGAGTTTGTTGGAAACCAAAGGGGCCGTGGCAGATTTGGAGAACGAGGTCATGGATGGTCACGTGGAAATTTTGGTAGAGCAAGAGGAGGACAAAATACTCCACATGGGGAAAGAGCTGGTACTCAAAATCAGCTGTATAATTTTCGTGGAGGAGCAGGTCGACTTCAGGGTGGTCGAGGAACAAAATCTCATGTCCAGTTTTTTAATTGTCAAAAGTTTGGTCATTTTGCTGCTGAATGTAGACAAAACCCACAGAGAGAAGAGAAGGTCAATTATCGCGAAGCTATAGTAGAGAATTTGGAGGACGCTACTCTGTTATTGACTTGTGATGGAGAGAAGAAAAAAGAATATCAGTCCTGGTTTCTTGATTCGGGTACAAGCAACCATATGACGGGAAATAAAGATTTGTTCTACAATCTTGATGAATCGATGAGAGGAAATATTTCTTTTGGAGATAAGTCCAAAGTTCCAGTCATGGGGAGAGGTGATATCCTTATTAAGTTGAAAATTGATAATCATGATTTCATCTCCGATGTTTACTATGTGCCTGCATTGAAAAAAAATATTCGGAGCATCGGTTCATTGCTAAAAAGGGATACTTGGTGACGATGAGCGAGCAGGGGCTGATTATGAAAAATAAGGAAGGAATGCTGATTGCAAAAGTCCCAATGTCGAGAAATAAGATGTTCGCGTTGAAGATCAATTATGATAATCCCAAGTGCTTGAAGGCTTGTGTGGATGATGTATCATAGCTATGACATCTTAGATTGGGACATCTGAATTTTGATGGACTGAAGTTGCTTTCCAAGAACAGACTGGTTTATGGTTTTCCATCTATACAACATCCTAATCAAATTTGTGATGGTTGTATGTATGGCAAACAATCCTGAAAGAGCTTTCCCAATGAGTCCTTTATGAAAACCTCTCGGAAACTTGAATTGGTACATGCTGACATATGTGGTCCAATCAAGCCAAGTTCATTTGGAGGTAACAGGTATTTCTTGTTGTTCATCGATGATTTTACAAGAAAGACTTGGGTTTATTTTGTTAAGGAGAAATCTGAAGTATTTTCAGCATTTAAAAAATTCAAAGCCCTTGTGGAGAATGAAAGTGGTTGTCAACTCAAGGCTATAAGAACTTATCGTGGTGGAGAATTCACTTCGAAATAGTTCAATCAATTTTGTGATCAATCAAGAATTTGACACAACTTAAGTGTTCCAAGATCGCCACAACAAAATAGAGTTGTGGAGAGAAAAAACATAACTATCCTTGACATGGTTCGCAGTATGCTGAAAATGAAATTAATGCCAAAGGAATTCTGGGCAGAAGCTGTGACTTGTGCAGTGTATGTGATCAATCGATGTCCTTCGAAGAAGCTGTTAAACTAAAAACCACAGGAAGCGTGGAGTGAAAGGAAACCAAGCATTGCACATTTGAGAGTTTTTGGGAGTATATGCTACATGCATGTGCCTGATGAAGTTAGAAGCAAACTGGATGACAAAAGCCAGAAGCTTGTTTTCGTGGGATATGCTGAAAATTCGAAAGGATATAAATTGTTTGATCCTCTAAGTCATAAAGTGATAATAAAAAGAGAGGTGGATTTCGATGAACATGAAAAGTGGGACTAGGACACTTCATCTGATGAAAGATAACAATTTTATTCCATCATTCAATGACGTTTTTTGAATGATTCGAATTGTGAAGATAAAGATGCAGCAAAGGCAGTTCCGCAAACACCTCAACGATCTTCTCTGCAAAATCAAGGAGTTGCATCACCTGCGTCATCTCAGCAATTGCAAGGAGTTGCATCACCTGGATCATCTTCTCAACATATTCGCAGAATGAGAACGTTAGACGATATTTATGCAGAAACAGAGGAAGTTCCAGATTTGTCAATGTATTGTCTCATTGCTAATTCTGAGCCGATGACATTTGAAGAGGCTGCTCGTGATGCAAATTAGCAGAAGGCGATGGATGAAGAGATGAAGGCAATTCGTAAGAATGATACTTGGAAAATTTCAACGCAACCTCAAGGAAAAAATCCGGTAGGAGTCAAGTGGATTTACAAAGTAAAAAAGAATGCAAATGGAACTGTGGAGAAGTATAAGGTGAGGCTGGTGGCGAAATGATTCACACAAAAGGCTGGAATTGATTACGAAGAGGTGTTTGCACCAGTAGTAAGCTTGGAAACAATACGCTTGATAATTGCGTTGGATGCACATCAGAGATGGAAATTTTTTCAAATGGATGTGAAGTCGGCATTTCTGAATGGGACTTTGGAAGAAGATGTTTACGTGCAACAACCTGAAGGATATGTGATAAAAGGTCACGAAGATAAGGTGCTGAAACTAAAGAAGACATTATATGGTCTAAAACAAGCTCCAAGAGCTTGGTACAAAAGAATTGACGAGTATTTTCAGCATAATGGATTTATTCGATGCCCGTATAAATATGCTCTGTATGTGAAAGAGCATGAATCTGGAGAAATTATGTATGTATGCTTATATGTGGATGATTTAATATTCACAGGAAGTAACCAATAGCTGATTGAAGATTTTAAAAGGAAGATGACTGCAGAATTTGAGATGACGGACTTGGGTATGATAGCATATTACTTCGGCATTGAAGTTATGCAAAGTGATGATGGGATTTTCATGTCTCAGAAGTCATATGCCGAGGCAATTTTAAAGGAATTTAAAATGGCGCGAAGTAGTCCAGTAGCTAGTCCGGTGGAGTGTGGCACAAAGTTGTCTAAATGTGATGATGGAGAAAGAGTTGGTGCAACTTTATTTAGAAGACTGGTTGGAAGACTGCGGTTTTTGACTTATACAAGACCTGATATTTTATACGCAGTTGGATTGATAAGTAGATACATGGAAGCTCCAACCATTAATCACATGAAGGTTGCCAAAAGAATTCTTCGATACATGAAAGGAAGTTCCAGCTTTGTTTGTTCTATTCTGCGGGGGCTGAATTCCGAATGATTGGGTACAGTGATAGCGATTGGAGTCGTGATATTGATGATCGGAAAAGCACTGGAGGTTTTGTGTTCTTTGCTGGTGACACTGCATTTTCTTGGAGTTCAAAGAAACAACCGATTATCACACTTTCATCTTGCGAAGCTGAATATGTGGATGATGCATCATGTGTTTGCCATGCTGTTTGGTTGAGAAGATTAATGAAAATTCTGAAGATTGATGAAACTGGAGCAACAGAAGTTTGCATTGACAATAAATCAGCAATCGCGCTTGGGAAAAATCCGACCTTTCATGAGAGGAGAAAGCATATGGATACAAAATATCATTATGTCTGAGAATTTGTTAACAACCAAGAAGTGTTGCTGAATTACGTGAAGTCCAAAGATCAAGTGGCTGACATATTCACCAAAGCGTTGAAGAAAGATGATTTTTGGAGATTGAGAAGCCATCTCGGATTGGTGAAAGGATGAAGATTACAAGTTTAAGAGGGAGTGTTAGGAAATAAACTTGTTTTGGTATGATTTAATCTAGTGCACTAATCTTGGGTATAATTTGCTTCTTCCTTGTTTAGAAACTAAATTAGATGATAGACTTTCCTTGATTTATATGTTAGGTAGATGAGTCAATAATTGAGAGGATATGAGATAAATCAAGGTCTGACATCCACCACGGCAAAATAGAAATAGATATCCGAATCATGCTTTTCGATAGAGAAAACCACAATGATTCCTTGGAAATAGTATTGTACCTTCAACTTAGCTATAGGCGCTCAAGGATAGCTAACACAAAGTTGACGAAGCTGAGAATGAGACGAGCTGCAGCAAATCCGAGAACATGTATGATCGA